CACTCTGGGCTCTTCATTTGGTGTGATTTTATAAAAGCTACTGTATATGACATTGTTTCAGAGGATTCACAGTCTCAGTTTCATCTGCTGGATTGTCAACAGCTGTTAGATCAATGTGTTTTCTCTCCGTTCAATATATTATAATGATAAAATGACCTATTATTTATTTCTGTAATCATAAATTTAATGAGATAATGTTCTTGATCACTAAATAATCCATTCAAGCATTCATGACTGCTTTTGTACAGGAAGTTTTGGCTCACTCTGTTTAACACTGTTGTCATTACAAATTGGTATAAGCTAAAATTACAATTCTGAGCAATTTATGATTTTGTTTTGTTGCTACCTTGACATGCTTTATATTTCTTTTTCTTGTGTTTTGGATGTCAACAATTTGGTCAAGTAAGCTAAATATGTGGTTGTATTCAAATTACAAAATATAAATTAATTTGACTGAATCAAGCTGAATTCAATAGGTTGTATTTGTGAAAATAACTTATTTCATGGTCAGATCAGGTGAAAATGTGTCTTTAGTGTAACAGCTGCATGGTTTAATACAGCTTCAATAAATATTTGCACATGGTGAATCACATTCACTGTCATGTTACATCTGTAAAGTTCAGATTCAGTGCTGAGAGATTCAGACACTAAACATTGAGATGAAGCAGTGATGTACTGCAGTGTGTTATTAAAGCATGTGTTCAGACAGACGACTCTCCTCTATTTCATGTGTCTTTCTGATTTCTCCTCTCATCTCTCAATCTGTCTTCATTCTTCATCTTCATTGGTTGCTCTCTCATGTCCTGAATGGATGTTGTTGGAGTCTCTGCTGCTGGACTGGGGTGAGTCTGTGTGTCCAGGACAGTCTTCTCTCTGTGGGACACGAGTCTGTCCATGTTCTGTCTGGATCATCTGACCGCTGTGAGACGACTGACACACATGAAGGATGCACTGTATGAATGCAAGGTGAGACAAACATAAATGGTTATCTGACCGCAGCTGTCCTGTTAAACAAAAATGTTGAATCACATCATCACTAACATAAAGCTGATCTGTCAACCCAAACTCATTTGATTCTTCTTTTGCCATATTTTACCCCACACAGTTTCTATAGTAATGTACTTTGTGGTGTGGATAGGACCCTTGGTTTATCATATCTCACAAAATACGGAAGCAGCCCATCCTGATAGATATTGCCTAGCAGAAAAGATGTGCTACTGACATTTTAAATGTGTTTGCCACAGTGGTCATATATCTCAACAGGTTTGATATCTGTCTCTCACAATGTACTTCCCATGTTTTGAACATGACAGTTTTAAATAAGGTCAGATTTAATGTAGTGGTGACTGGCAACAATTTCTATTCATACTGTATTTGTTAAGCTACATAAAGCAGCTTAAAACTGCTCTGTGACTCACGTGACAATGTTAGGAAGCTGCGCCAGACTCTTTCATGTGAGTAAGAACGAAAGTGAAAGTAAAAAAACAAAAAACAAACAGCGTCGTCATTCTTGAACCTGAATATTCAAACGGCCGCGTATTACATGGTAAGCTTAGAAATGAATGTTCTTTTAAACATCAGAACAATACATGGTAAGTTTAGAAATGAATGTTCTTGTAAACATCCAATCATATATAAACCTGTGCTGCTATTTGAGGTTTGCTTTGCATTCATATATACACACATATAACATGAATAATTATTCTGGTATCAAAGCCGTCTTGTATAACTCTGTTTACATCCTGGATTCTGTGACGACGAACGTTCGACGAAAACTGGCTAAACATACTATTCTACTATTCTACCAGGACACTTTTTAATGTACAGAGATGGTTATTGTATGTACACAGTGAACCAATGATTGTTTATTCTCTTACGAAAACGCATGAAAACGAAGTGACGCAGCCTACTTTCACTAACTCTTTCCCTCACAATCTAAAGAAGTGTGAATCACAGATGCTTAATTGTCTAAAGGTGTAGCTGTGTGTTTTTCTGCCTATCGATGGAGCCGTGGCTGAGTTGTTGTTTTTTTTTTGGCTTTTTTTTGGCTCCGAGTGGGATGACATATTATTCGCATCTTTGCTTTTATGCTTTGTTTCACAGAAATGGAGGAGGATGATGAAGAATTGGAGAGAATGATGCTTTCTATATCCCCATCCAAACTCCAAGGCCAACGGAGTAAGAAAACCTCACACAGACATAGGTGCATGTGTGCGTGCGCGCGCACACACACACACACACACACACACACAAACAATATTTATTGTGGTTGCTATATCCATCTTTTACTAAAAGTACACCCATATGAATGTGAACTCAGGTTATTGCTGTAAAAGAGCTTAATGCTCAGTCAATTTTCCCTGAATAAACAACAGTTGATGATATTTATAAATATTCCATCCTTTCATACCAATCTTTGGTTTGTTCTTTTTTCATAGAAGTGGAGGAGGGTGAAGAATTGGGGAGGATGATGCTACCCACATATTCATCTAAAATTCCAGGCCAACTGAGTGAGAACCATATACATGCACATACATGCTCAAACTCACATACACTTCAGTCCTCTATATGCGACATCGGGTCCATCGGGTCCCAATAATTGAAAATATGGGATACCCAGAATAATCAAATATCTAAATTAATACATAACCAATATAACCAATAGATTCCTAATTAGAAACAATCTAAATGTAATAACCATTTGAAATTGGAGTCAGATTAAGTGGGGATGATTCTGACATCAATCAGGATTATCCATCCAACACACTGACAAATCACTGTTTGTTTATTAGGCGTGATCAGGCCTGTGTTAATGCCCATAAATTGTTATATTAACAGTAAAGGCTTTTATATGTCATTCTGTCTGTTTATGTAATAAATGCTTGAAAGTAAAATTATCTTAACTATGATTTCAGGTTCAGAAGTTGTTGGAGTCCCAGTGGTCAAAGGTCTTATTCCTACTGCATACTAGGGATGATTCTGACATGAATCAGGATTATCTGTTCTACATTGATTTGTTGCTGTTTGTTGGTTAGGCCACGTTCAGGCCTGTTCTAATTCTTGTGTTCAATTGTTCTACTAACATTGAAGGCATTTATATCTCATCATTGACGGTAAGTACAGAGTTCTTGTTTTGCATGTTTTTTCCATGCTATACTTTAAAGGTTTGGTATGTACATGATTTACAGAGTGAAAGATGTAAATCTCCAAAATGCAGAAGTACAGCAAAATAACAAATATGTATT